CGAGACTAATTTGACAATAACTTCAAGAATATTGCTTAGATCGGATTAAAATTTTAAGGACATATTCTTGAAATGTTAAACAATAAGATAAGACAAAAAAAATCGATTTTTCGAAAGTGAAAACCCTTACCCCGCCCTTAACTAAACCCGCCCTAACTTAAGAGTGTTATAGATTTGATAATCCACCGGAAGGCTTAGGTTGACATGTGTTAGATAGAGTGGGGAGAATACCATCCCCTCTACTGAAGGTCCTTTGGTATATATAAACTCAAACTATATCGCCCCAGCGAGAATAATTTTTACAGTGAAAGTTTTTCATTAACTGAGACTTTTTTTGTATTGTCAACATAATGATTATTCAAAGATTATTACAGTTTTCTTTAAACATCTTGTGATAATTACAAAGACACCCAAAGGGTTCCCGGTATACTCGTGTAAGAGATTCAAAAAGCAATTCGTAATAATTTTGTGAATAACCAATATCATTATTAAATATTTTGTGAACCAGAGCTTCAAAAAAGTATAATTTTTAAAATTTACACGATTCATCATTATTTATTCGATCCATACATAATACTTTCGCATAATTTGCAATTCTTTATAAATATTTAATCTTTAGAAAATACTAGCCTGCCTGGTTTCGGCTAAACTCTGTGAATACAGTATGGCCCAAACATACTTACCCTTACTATTTGATAATATTCGTTGTTAGGATGTAACAATATATTCAAAAATTATTAAATTGTATTTTAATTAAATAAAAAAATGTATTACCAATTTATACAAAGTAAATTAAAGTTTTCTAACAATAATCATCAATAACGAATAACTTTTCTACATATACATACAAATTTTTTCTTATTTTGTATTAATAATGCATATAAAAATACTTATGTAATAGGTATAAATTTGACTCGAAGTGGTTTTGCAGAGCCTAAGGTGATACCAGCTAAATATGTAACGTCATCTAGATCATCCACCGGTTCCAACTCAAAATTGTACAATATATAAGCTATGAAGAGTTTAAGCTCAAGCATTGCCAATTTTTGACCTGTAAAATGAAAAATATAAGAATAAGAAGACAAATTTTGTAATTTTTATGCTCATATTTCTATATAAGACATTTACCAATACAGTTTCTTGGTCCTGCACTAAATGGTATGTAGGAGTACGGATGTCGATCTTTACTATTCTCCGGTAAAAATCTGTCCGGATCGAAAACATTTGGATTTGGCCAATATTCCGGATTTCTGTGCACGTTTCGAATGCTTATATGACAATAAGTACTAGATGGAATTAAATAATTCTCTACAAAATGAATATATATGATTGCATAGTGAATAAAATAAAAATGAATAGTTAATAGTTTACAAGTGAAATTATAGTATATAAAATATACATAGAATTTCATACTTAGTTGCATATCGTGAGAAATTCGCCGAGATATTAAATAGGCGGGTGGATACAAACGAAGAGATTCTTTTAGACACCTCTCCAAATAGGAAAGGTTTAAAAGTGATGACATCGTTAAATTATCATCTTGCAAAATTGTTCTAACCTCCTTTCTTATATTTTCCTAAAAATAAATTCATTGCATCATTAATTATTGCGTCATTAATTATTCATTGCATAAATTATGAAAATCGCAAAACGTAAACAACACTGCAAGTTAAAATAATTTTTATTCGAATTTGAGTACCGGTAAAACTTATTTTCAGTTATTATAATTGCTATTATATATAGAATTAGTAATAAACTAATAAACTTAGTCAAACGATTTAATGATTAATTAATTTTTAATGTATAAAAATAAAAAAACTGCTTCTTTTGTTAATCATTTTAGTTGAAAATCTTTGCTGTAAACATTACCTGGACATTTCTGTGCTTAGCAAAAAGACTCAAAGTAAAGCACAGTGCACTTGCAGTAGTGTCGTGGCCCTAGAAATTAATCATTTTAAAGAATATTTTTTCTCTTTTGTCTTTTAATTAAATGCATTTACGAGAACCTACCACAAACATGAAAGTATCAACTTCTTCTCGAATTCCTTCCTCATCTATTTGATTATCGTTCCAAGATGMGGCTATAAGCAAATCTAGCAGAGAATGTTTTTTCTTATTCTGCAAATCTGTAACATAACAATTCTATAGACCTTGTATCTCGCATTTTATTTTATTCTCGTTTAAAAAAATTTTGAATACACTTATTTTCCTTTTCTAGACCGTCATTAGGAACGTCATCCTCATCCAAATTTTCAAAGATTTTCAAATATTCTCCATTASTTTGTTCGTGAAAACGTTTCCTTTCTTCAATTATCTGAAATAAATAWAAGACATTCCTAATCTGGATTGATATTTTGGAAAAACGTAGATTTTTGAATAATTAGTCAGAAATACGTACATTTCTTGAAAAACTATGCAATGTTATCAACGCTTCTGTTTGTACTCTACCAAGTGGTGAAAATGCAAATATTGTMTCKGASAARTACMAAGGTCTAAAAGATCTAATAAAAAATAAATCAAATATTCTGTTCTAGTGACTTAATTTTTTAACGAAAGATTAGTAAATTACCTATATGCAAGAATTGTGGCATAAACATGAACAGCTTGACGATATTTAGATTCTATTTCACCTTTTCCTGTCAATTGAGTACCCAAAGATGTTTCTACAAACAAGATTTGACAAAAAATAAATTTGGTTAGATTAATTGTTAAGTATGCAGAAAATGTGTGTGTGTGGTTTTTTTCACTTACGGCATATTGCGTTAAGAGTATATTTGCTGATAAATGTTCGCAAATCTTGGACAACAGGATTTCCATCTCCCTCATTTTGAAGAGATTCGACAAGTKCTTGTGATTCCTCAATTAAATTAATAAAGTAATGTTTAAGAATACTAAAGTGAAATACAGGGGTTAACATCTTTCGTCGTGAGCGCCATTTTTGACCTGTCAAATTAGATTAGATTTAAAATATTAGAAAATAAATTATTAGTTTTTATGACCAAGAACTCTAATTTTAAAAATAAAAGATCAAAGTGTTGTTTAAAATGAAGAAAAAAACGTGTGTCTCTTTGTGTATAGTATTTAGGGCTGAGTTAATGACGTTTGGTAGTACGTCTTGTAGTTCGGCAATACAAGAGGCGACTGCCGGCGCGACGCACATGCAGTGATCCCAGAGACTTTAGTTCGTTCGATGGACACAGGGGCGCAAAATTATCGTACGCGGCACAAAATTATCGTACGCCCCGGGAAAATTTGAAATCGGACAAAAATCCAACAATTTCTCGGACAAAATTTTCAAAATGTGGAAAAAGTTTCCAACATCGTGTCCATGTGTTTGGACGACACGAGTCGCTTTCATAGTGTGCCACTCCGGCGTGCCCGCCAACTTCGGTTACACTCGACTTCTTTCGACATCCCAAACACACGGACATGGAAAACTTTCATTGTGTGCAATCCCAGTGGCACAGGGAGAGGGTAAGATTTACCCACGATCTGACAGCACTGGAGCTCGCTAGCCCAAGATTCGCGCATTAATATACACATTACACGCACCAAGTAGTCCGCGGCAATACCGCGGATGACGCAACACAGACACACCTGACTAACAAACGCGCTGTAGTGACAATACCACTACAGACACACTCACACTTGTTACATAGCCCAAAAGGGGGGTTTCTTAACAATATATGTCAATCCTGAACACTTTGTAATGCTCGAACGAATAAAAACGTATTTATAGAAAGCGCATATTCATTGAATCATTTTGGAAACTTCATTTTAGATATATTATTTAAAGGCTGTTTTTAAGAAATTTAGATTGTTTACCGTAACTAGTTAATAATCCCGAAGAAAGCCAGGAAAGAAGAGTTTTGTAATTAATTCCTTTTTCAAGATTTTCATTGCTATTCAATACCACCTATGATAAAAATTCATTTTGTTAACGCATATTCATTGATTTTTCGATTTATGTTTAACGTTTGACTTTGTATTACATAAAACGAATTGGAAAATATAAAAATAGTCTTAGAAAAATACATAAATAGTCTTGTCTGTACTGATTTAAGGAATATTCGACTGTGAATTTTCGGAAATGAATGATTTTAAATAGGTTCAGCTCTTTTCTATATCGTCATAAGTTAAAATAAAATTTAAAATAAATTTMTTTTATTTTATAATAATTTACCTGAATATCATCTGGATCGAGTAAAACTACAGAAGAAATAGAAAAGCTCCATAATTTGTAAATTGGATAATGCACTCTACCTAATCTCCATAGTTCCTCAAGTAAATGATCTATATTATTAGAAATAAGTTAGTATTAGGTGAGAACTTTATCTACTAGGAAAAATCATAGTTTATTGTATAATTACTAAAGAAAAATATTTTACTATTCCTTACTATTGTCAACTTGAACATGATGCATATTTCCTATTATGGGATATTCCTTAGGTCCTGGAATAAGACTTAAAAGTTTTCCCACTCTTCTATATTTTATAAAGCAGTGTAATAAAAATAGAAATAAAATTGTGCCTAACAAGATAGCGTACATCATGAAAATCTGGAAAATAAGCAAAATTACAGAAATTATTTATAAATGTAGAAAGGAAAATTTTATGTATTAAACATTGTTGTCAAGGATAACAACTTTTTGTAAATACTTCATCATGGATTAAATACATAAACTACATCCGATTTAATAAAACAATTTAATGATAAAATTAGAAACGCAGTTAATCAAAGATTCGATGTGCGTGTTGAAACAGAGAATAAAAAATGTAGAAAAAACGTTGTCAAGAAATTATTTAACTCACTGGGGCGTTAGATTAGGACAAAAATAGAAATAATAATTGAGACTTGATTTGAATTGTAATAAAAACTGAAAACTTAGCAAACTGAGGCTTTATATATGCTTTCCGTGGATACCTCCACTATCGGGTTGTTAAAAAAATTTAGTGGTGGGGCGTAACCTGTTTTACCTGTTCAATCTTCTTAGGTTAAAAAGTTTCAAAGTGGATGCAGAAAAAACAGATGTGTGCAAATGAAAACATGTTACAAGTGAGACTTTCTAATAATCAATCAGTGACAGAATGTATCTTAAAATGTCTACTTAAAATCATTGAAGTTTTATCATAATCTTTTTTAGGAATTTACGATACTTCTGTATTGTACTTTATCAAATTCTTGTTGATGAATTCAGTAAGTGTATTTATTAATTGATTGGAAGAAATATAAATTGCACATATTTCCCCTGCTTTAGAAAGCTAAACAGACAATAATTTCAGTTGTTGTACATCAATATCTATTTGTGGGTAACAACATGGGCTCTGTCATTTTAATTATGATAGTTTGGAACTTCGTTTACTTTCGTATGTGGTCTTCTATATTGAACTATAATATCAAAATTTACAATGTCTACAATGTTTTCATTATTCATCCACATCTCGGAAAAAATAAGAAAATTCTACGACGATACTATACTGTCTAATTAAATATCCTGTTCATGAGTTCGTAAACTTTGGCAGTTAAACGTAAACAGTGAAAACCCTTCCTTGTATTTATAAAATCCTATAATAATACCTCAATTTTTTCAAGTCGATTTAGGTTCAGCCTTTAAAACTCAGATTGCAATTCAATTGTGGATACTTTTGCTCTTCAATCATAATAAATTTTTTTATTATTTTTTATCGAAGCGAGACGTAAGCGACCCTTGTATCGTTTTTATTCGTAATAGTGGGGTGTACAAGAGCTGTTTGAGCCCATGTTTTGTCATATTCTTATACAATTTCACCAAATGTTCCTCCCTAGTGCTTATGAATTATTATCGAACATACAGAGACCAATAAAAAATGGTTAACATTTTACAATGACTTTTTGATTAGGTATGATTTCTTTTGGGAGGAACGAAGAGAGCATAAGATACTGATCATTATACCGAACGAGGAAAATCCAGTGGGTAGACCAAGACGTAGATAGGAGGACAATATTAGAAAAGATCTTAGAGAAATAGGCTACGAAGACAGCGAATGAAGGGGTCGCGCTCAGGTACGAGAACAATGGCGGGATTGGGTATTTGCAGTGTGACGTCCCAGAAGGGGATGTCAACGAACAAGCACAATTTCAAAGATAATTTCTTTTGACTCGGTCACGCCACCAGCGTTTACTCGGTCAAAGGAAGAGTGCCCTGTTTTGGGTCAATCTGTAAAGCCAGACTTTACCCGGGATCTGGGCTAAGAGAGAGAGAGTAACCCACCAAACAAGTAAATGATAGTGTTTTACCCGATGTTACTATTGCTTTAAGATGTTTAAGATTTCCTGGAAGATGGCCTTTTCTTGGTCGTTTGATCGTCAGACCCCTGAAGCTGCTCGGGTTCCGTAGTGCTAGCGCCGTGTAGGTAGGCAACAGGATTTGTGTATGATGAGGAAATTAATTCAACTTTGCACAAACACTTCCAATTTTACGAAAATAACAGTATATTACTAAATAAAGTTAAAATTACACAAGATCTTTATTAACAGTAAAGCAAAATAAGGTACTAATATGGCTAAGTTAGAAGTTAAGTTTAATCGCGAAGAGTAAGTAAACGATAGATGCTGTAAATCGCTAACAAAGTAAAGGCTAATTTTAATGCGAACTCTACTGCGGAATATGGTAGACTGCCGGCAGGGAAGAACACAGTTTTTCCCGTCGGGCCCAATCCGAAAGGGTGGGAACACCTCCCACTTGCGCAAGATACCTCCCTCACTACCCACTTTCATTCGGTAAACTGCAGATTTTGGGATATTACATGCTGCGGACTACGATTCCTCGAAATGGAAAAATATCAGTTTCTATCGACTGTGGATTCTGCTAATTTAGAAAAATATCGTTTTTCGTCTAAACAGATATCAGTTACGGTTACCCGTAGATTTTACAAAAAGTCACGCGCGTTCTATCTTTGAAGCGTGATCTCAACTATAGTCAGCAAGAAAGTGGATACTGTAGGACTGCAAAAATCTACCCTTTACTTACTTYCTCACGATCATGAACGACAATGGATCCTTGCCATCACATTTACGTGTGATCAACTAATGCCAATATCGATGGTCGTTCATGAAAGTGGTTATAAGACAAAATTAGGAGTACAATTTTACAAGGTACGAATATAGCTACATAGTAATCGACTAACGACTTACAAATAGGACACTCGCATAATTGGCGCAGCAAAGTTCGAAATTAGTCGTCACTGGGACGTGACAGCAGCAATGAACTTTCGAGTTCCTAATGCCAATTAATAATAATAATAATAATACTAATTTTTCAATAAAATAGAAACATTTTTAAATAGAAAAGGTATGACACGTTCTGTACAAAAAAAATACACCAGATTTTCTATTATATTTCGAACAAAAATAATATAACATACTATAGAAATAAAAAAGTCCGCCTGCATGATCACTGAGTTGCTCAGTGGTCATGTTGCCGGTCCCAAGCCCGGATAAAGGATGGGGGTTGTTAGGTTAGGTTAGCTTCCTGCCTGACGTAAAAAATACAACACGCTCACAGAACCGCAGAATCGCCTCGGATTAGGACTGATACACGGAAAACGACCCAGGCACGAAAAAGGATAGCGAGATGGAAACGGAAAAATATCCTAAAAATAACTTCCTGGAATGTCAAAAAATTCAACAACAAAGAGCAAGAAATAACAGAAGAACTAAAGAATCTGAAAATAGACGTTGTTGCATTACAAGAAACAAAGAAAAAAGGCAAAGGTCAAAAAGCGTACGGGGAATACGTGGTAATATATAGGGGCGTTGACAAGAACGAAAGAGCTAAGGAAGCTGTGGCTATTGCCTTACATAAGAAATACACCAACTAAGTCGAAAAATGCCAATATATATCACCACGTATAGTAATGATAAAGTTGATGATCGAACCACAACCTCTGCATATAATATCGGTCTACGCGCCAGAAGACAACAAACCGAAACAAGAGAAGGAAATCTTTTTTAACGAACTTAAGAATATCGGGGAGTCAATACCACCAAGGAAATCAATTGTCATCCTCGGAGATTTTAATGCTCGCATCTGTAACGAGCAAATCTCCGGAGTCATGCAACGGTTCAACGAACACATAATTAACGATAACGGAAAACTTATGATCAACCTCTGTTCTCTGACAGGGCTTAGAATCAATAACAACTACTTCAACCATAAAGCCCAACACAAATATACGTTTGGTAACACCCGAGGTCAAAAGTCAACTATTGACTACGTCGTGACGAACAGATGTATACCACCTTCCGAAATTTTAGATGTCAGAGTACTTAACTCAGCTGATGTGGGAAGCGATCATGGTTTACTCCTTGGTAAATTTAGATTAAAGTATAACTTCAAAAGAAAACAAAAACACCCAGTCAGAGCAAGAGAAAAAATTAGAGTAGAAGCTCTCTGGGGCACAACAACCCGAGATCTGTACAGAAAGCGATTAGAGGAAAAAATTGAACTGCATCCAACCACCAACTTGGACGATCTCAACACAATTTGGAGCAAACTAAAGACAAACATCAGAACTGCAGCCATGGAAGCTGTAGGAACAACAACATACAAAAGTCAAGGTTGTAGAAAAAATAAAACACCATGGTTCTGCGAAAAAGTCAAAAATCAATACAGAAAAAAGAGAGAAGCATACTTAAAATATTTAACAACCTGAACTGCTGAGTCATACAATGCATATAAACAAATTCGGAACGAAACCGGTACTATGGTGAGACAACTAAAAGACAGCTACTGGGAGAACTTTTCAAAGCGACTAGAAAGAGATTTTTACGGGCTCCAGAAACAGATGTGGCGATTTATAAGAACCCAAAAGAAGGAAATAAGCGAGTTAATACTCGCTAGTCAAATTAGTAAGGAAACGTGGACCAGTTACCTTAAAAACCTATATAAAGATGCACCCATGCAACAACCAGCACCGAGTGTGGTAATAGACGACCATATATCAATAAATGAGTCGGACATAAAAAAAGCACTAAATAAGCTTAAAAATAGGAAAAGTCCGGGTCAGGATGATATCACTAACGAACTGCTCAAGTATGGCGGCGAAAGATTGCTTCAGGAGTTAACGGTCTTAACACAAAAAATTTTTAAACAACAAAAAATTCCCGACAAGTGGCGGATAAGCACAACGATTCTTCTTTTTAAGAAAAGCTACAAGAACGTGCCCGCGTACTATGGAGGAATAAATCTACTGTCTTCCACCCTGAAATTAGTGACCAAAGTCATAACGAACCTGATAAACGAGCGAATCACATTAGCTGATGAGCAACAAGGTTTCCGAACTGGACGATCATGTATAGATGCAGCGTTTGTGATCAGATAAATAACAGAAAAGTCCATAGAATACAATAAACCAGCATTTTTCTGTTTTATAGATCTAGAAAAGGCGTTCGACCGAATACGGTTAAAGGATATAGTGCACCTTCTGTATGACAGACAAATACCGAGCAACATCATCAAAACTATCGAGGACATCTAGCGGAATAATCGAATACAGGCAAAGATAAACGACGATTTCACAGAACCCATAATGGTTGAAAGAGGTATTCGACAGGGTGACTCATTGAGCCCCCTACTTTTTACCATTATAATGGATGAAATCATAAAGAAGGTGCGCGAACAAAGAGGATATCAAATGGGGAACCGCGAGATAAAAATCTCGTGTTATGCCGATGATGCGGTCCTGATAGCGGAAAATGAGGATGACCTGCAAAGGCTCCTGTATACGTTCAACATCGCATCAACACGCATCAACAAGTGCATGACTACATCTAAAACACCCTTAAGATGTAAATTGGTTGTCGATGACAACATAATAGAACAAGTGATGGAATTCAACTACTTAGGCATAAAAATTTCGAGCTTCGGTGACATAGAATCAGAAGTAAGAGAACAAGCCATCAAGGCAGCAAGAACAGCCTCACTATTAAACAACACCATATTCCGTAACAAGCACCTAAGAATGGATGCAAAAGCGCGTATATACAAAATCGCTATAAGACCTATACCAACATATGCGGCAGAAACAAGACCCGAAACATCTAAAACACGCCAAATCATGGAAACAACTGAAATGAAGATAGTTCGCAGAATAGCTGGGAAATCACTATGGGACAGAGTAAGAAGCGAAGGCCTTAGGAAAGAATGCCAGATCGAGAACATCAACGACAGGGTATTAAGTAGAAAAGTTGAGTGGAATGACCACATCACTCGCATGACTGATGACCGAGTGGTCAAAAAATCCCGAGATAAGTCACCATCGGGGAGACGAAGCCTTGGAAGACCTCGAAAGCGCTGGAGCGACAGTCTGACTATATGAAGCGCGTCGCGATGAGGAACAGGCATCGTGCCTACATGGAAGAGAGAAGAAGAAGAAGAAGAGAAATAAAGAAAAACCAAGATAATAGAAAAAACTGTATAGGTACTATTTTCTATCCCATTCTCTCGGCGGCTCAATCTGATTGATGTATATATGTTTGTCTCTTTTTGTCTTTTTAGAAACTTTGCCGTTCAGTTTCGTTTACTCGAATTTGTTTGTTTTGTTTATCGCGCTGGGTCGCTTTTTCGTCGCGTCCGTTTTCAAATCTCCTCCATTCTAAAGAAGTCTTAACTTTAAAAATACATTTAATTAGAAAGGGATTGCGATTTTATCGGAGCATTTAGAATGATACCACCGCTCAGGTATTACGTAACACAACTACATAATAAAATTATACTTACAAATTAACCAATTAAGCGTGGCGATCTCTGCGCAGAGAGCGCTACGGTGTGTGTCGCGATACTCAAGCGATGACGGATATAGTTGTCAAACACAGAGTAAGTGGCGCTGTTGAAATATTGGGTCAAAAAGACGACTTTATTTTAGAAAATGAACAATTTTGCTAGTAATGTACACACAGTATCCTAATATGAACATATATTTATACATAATAAAAGGAAAACTTAGAGAAAATATTGAATATTTATAGAAGTTAAAAATATAAACTGTTGCTGTCGTGTGATATTCACGAAAACAAGGAACAACGCATAGTGGCACTTTGCATGTCGGACACCAATACCGCGATTCTTTTCTAATCTTTTTTTTATAACAAACAGCGCATCTTCGCGAAGGATTTGTTGTTGTTCAACTGTCTGTTATGTAATCCGGGAAATGTTTTTCGATCAAACGCGAAACATTAGACGTCATTGACCGAGATTGCGATAATTTTTGCGATTCGATGGGATACGATGCAACTGTATCCTCAATATATTCTAATAAAAAGTTTACTCGGCTTAATTTTGTTTACTGCACTGTTTACGAGTAAGCTCTCAGAAAGTTATGAATCCAACTCAAATTATTTATAATTTTTATTTGCTCGTTTCATTTCGTCTTGATCTCTAAACATTTTAAACACATTAAAATTTACGAATATAATTTAGTTTTCGCCAAAATTACAACCTAAACATCAAATTGTAACAAACTTTTACGCATGACGGATATAGTCGTCATGACACAAAATTCTGTCACATTTCCATGACGGATATAGACGTCAAACACGCTTAACTGGTTAAGAACTCAGTGATTTGGAAGTGCGATCTCCGTGTAAAAGATTGAATGTTAAAATATCTGTAGAAGAAAAACATCGAGAAATTATAACACTCACTGACGTTATATTAAATGTAGATCTACCCTCTTCTTCATTCTTCTGCGACAATTCAAATTTCTTTTTACTAAAATCATATGTTTTTTCAAATTAATCTGTCTTGTTGTTTCTCATTCTGATATTTGTAGTATTAATTTCAGTCTTTTTTTTCCCTCTCGTAAATTTTCGTACGGATTATCAGAAACTAATACATAATTGCTCTGGCGTTGTTTTTTAGCCTGCATCTGTTGTTTTTCAGCTTTACCACTAATTTTCTTTCATTTTCCTTCTTCCTTGAGGCATGTTCGTTTATTTATTTAAATAGTTTTAAACAAAACTATATTTAAAACTTCGAAAACCAATTCACTTTTAGGAAGCTTTGAATCGTTTTGAATTGAACTATTTGTACGTTCAAACAACACAGTACACTGATAAGAATTTGCGAAACGTAACTAGAGATATACGCAGTGATAATTTCTCGGATGAGATTTTCAAAATCTGGAAAAAGAGTGCAAGTTCCAACTTTTTCAAAGTTGATGAAAAATGGTAAAAACGGCGTATGGCAGGGAGAAAGACTTGCTCGTACAGAGATCGTATACGGATCGTCATGGATCGTACACGGATCGTCGTGGTGGTTTTCGAAATTTCGATTCGCTATCGAAAAATCGAACCCGTTTGCAAATTTTGATGACTAAAAAAAAAAAAAAATAGGTCATCAAGAATTTTGGATCGTACAAGGCCCGTATGGGATCGTACGCGTACGAATGGGATCACTGGATGTACGTTAGATCGTACGATAGATGTACGTCATCCCTCTTTTACAAATACTGCATGCGTATTAGATAGAACGATGCAGGAAGATGAACTTCTATTGTTATCGCTACTCTAGCTACAGCGAATGCGCATTGAACAGTAGGGAGCTAGTGTGCCGACACGAGCGAGGTATATATTCTAGGTTGGTACCACTCCTAGACTGTCACTATTACTAAATGTTTCCTTCAAAATTATAATGTCCCTAGAAGTAACTGCTTCGATCCAATTGTACGATAATTATCGTATGCGTCACATAATTTGAAGCCTTGTACGATCCAAAATTCAGCCTGTACGATAATTTTCGATTTTACGATAATTTAATTCGATATTAATCGATATTATTCGATATGTACATAATTTCATCGATATGTCTCGAAGTTGTTTTTGTTTTGTTTGCTATTTCCCCCACCCCACTGCTTTCACAGTCACAAGGCACATATACAATAAATTATTGGGATTCTGATTCGAGATCTCGAATTTCGAAAAACATCGACTCGAAAAGAATCATCACTGTACCATCTGCTATCTGCTCCCTGACTGCCGTACCTACGACTGCTTGTTTGAACTTGAAGACTAAAAAAAGTTGGAATCAAGTCATCAAGTTTGAAAAAGTTGGTACTTTTACTTTTTTTTGCAGATTTTGAAAATCTAATCCGAAAAATTCAACGTGTCAAATCTAAAATTGCAAATTTTTTCTGTGCGTACGATAATTTTTCTGTGTGTACGATAATTTTACGGCCCTGTGTACGATCAGACGAGCTTAAGTCTCTGGGATCATTGCTCTTGACTGTGGCAAAAGTAACACCTGCAACATCAATTAACTCATGATTCTTAGTTATTGAAGAAAATCCTGCAAATCGTGAATCATCAGCTTGACTTTCTTGATCAACAAATGTCTTTTAAACTGTCCCACATTTTGTTGTTACATATTTTTTATTAGTATAATTAACTTTGGTTGCTCCAGTAACTTCTGTAATTTCCGTTTGAGTTTTAGCATGAGATATTTCATCTTTGATGTATCTGTTGCAAATAAATGTTTGAGAATTTACATCAAAATTTGAGTAAAAGTCTACTTGACACCCTTGGTCGACTTTCTGTGGTGATACTGGTGGATTTTCGATCATTATTTCAACAAATTCATTAATTGGTGGCTCAGCATAAGATGTTGATGATAATTTATTTTTCATTCGACGATCCTTTGAACGCTTGTACCTGAAAAAATCATTATATTACAATTTTTATATTTAACTTTCAAAAATAACAAAATTAAATTTTGCAATAATTAATTTTTTTTTTTTATATGAAATATAATTTATTAATCTTATAATTATATTTTTTATTACTTAGAGGAGGTAAGAGAGTTCAAATATCTAGGATACACGTTTAGGTACAATAACAAGGAAGAGTCGCATATTCAGGATGTAAGAAGGAGAGCAGCAGCGGCTATGGTACAAGTATGGAGCATTGGAGAGAGGAAATTTGGTGGAGACTTTAGGAGGAGAATGATAATGTTCAATGCGATGGTAAAGAGTATATTCATGTRKGCAGTGGAAATTTAGGGGATAGAGGGGAGGAAGGAGTTGGAAAGAATACAGGAGAGGTACTTAAGGAATATACTAGGACTGGATTTAAGTGTATCGGAATATTTGATAAGGGAGGAAACGAAGGTGGAAAGAATAGCAGTGGAAGCAGGAGTAAGGGTGATTAAGTATGAAGAAAAGATTAAGAGGGCGGAAAATGAACTTCTGAGACATTGCAGGAGAGAGATGGATAAGGAGAAATGGGAGGAAACGAGAATAGGTAGATTAAGGAAAATAATGTATGAAAGAGCAGGACTAAACAGATGGGAAGCAGAGGTAAGAGATGCTAATGGACAGAATGTGGCAGAGATATGGAGAAATAAAGTGGTAGAAGAGGAAAGAAAGGAAAGGGATAAAAGGATAGAAGAATTAAAGTACAACAGGGAATATGGAAGATGGAGAACAGAAGGGATACCAAAATATCTGCAAGAAAAAAGTAAAGGGAAAAAATTGAAAATGATGGCAAGATTCAGATTAGGGAATGAATGGAGGGCAAGCAGATACTGGAYAAAAGAGGATGAGAAGATTATGTGCAGATTGTGTGGGATAGAGAAAGAGACAGGAATGCATGTGATGAGGGAATGTAACTATTCGGAAACGGAAGAGAGGATAGAAGTGTTGATGGGAGAGGAGGRAAAGGGAATGGAATGGATGAAGGAATTATGTAGAAGGAGAGAGCGGTGTTAAGAGGATGTGGTAGTAAGAAGAAGTTAATAAAGGTGTACTTGTGTATTTGTAAAAATGTATATTTGTAAAGAGGTATTATATTAAAACGGGTCGACGCACCCTATGTATCCCGAAAGGGAATCATTATTTTAAATAAAAAAAAAAAAAAATAAACATTTTTGGGATAAAAAATTACCGAGGTGCGTTTCAGAAAAAGTATGCTTCTAAACTGAATAATCTATACATGAGAGATGTATGCTTTTCAGGTAAAGCGATAAACGTTTCCAAATCTAAAATAAGCTACTTATCAATAAAATTATTTCGGAACAAAACAATGTATCAATTACATAGGTCGATAGCACTGTAAATGTAGATAATCGACAATGCATGGATCTACTCGAATTAAATTGTTGGTTTTCCCGCATATCTCTCCGCTATCGTTCTAGTGCGCCGAGAAAAAACTTGGGCCCGGAGGAAACAAAACGTAGTAATGCTTGGTACGCAACGTGTTAAAGAGATTTAGTGTTTCAATTAACCTGCAGGCTATATTAGTTGGTGTAGTGAAACCTGCAAACATGAAGAAATTTGTAACCTTACTATGAATGACATAAAAGTGATTGACGCTTCAACAATTCTAA